AATTTTAAGAAGTTCCTTTTGTTGAAATCGTTGCCTGGTTTCTTAATGAGCTTATTCATATCAGGTAAAGTTTTCAGATTTGCGTGGCTTGTATTTCTGCACGTGGCGTTTTTATGGTCAATTCCTGGAGGACATTTTGTTTATGAGGGAATTTGCTACCAATATGTTTTTGACGATGTTAATATGTTGTTATTAATAGGTAAACATTTCCCAATTGTGACCAAAATTTGTTTTCTGATGCAATTTTTAATATGATGATTCTAACCTCAAAATTTGCCACGACAATTCAATGTTGTTTTCTTCTTGTTGCTGCCAGTGGTTTTGTGACTTTCGTTTTATTGCTATTTTAGTGAAATTCGTGATGTGAATCATTGAATCCATAATAATATTTTATATATACATCTTACCTTTTAGGACATCAGCAATTTAACTCCTCTATCGCCAGAGGTAATCTCTCGCCAAGCTACTATTAATATTGGTACAATTGGTCATGTAGCTCATGGTAAATCCACAGTGGTTAAGGCCATTTCAGGTGTACAAACTGTTCGTTTCAAAAACGAATTGGAAAGAAATATTACCATTAAACTCGGTAAGTTGGAATATGTATTTTTTGTATTAAAGAACTAATTATGTATATATAAGATGCTTTCAAAGAGCTACAGGTGTGTTTTGGCTCTAATTAAAGTTAAAAATTTAAATAGATACCTACATACATTTCAAAACAGTAGATCTTTGTCTAGCATTTTTGTTGCAATTATCTCTTGTTATAAATTTCAAGCAAAAAAATACTAGTTTTTATGAATATATTGTATGTAAAATCAACATTATTCCCTATCATTTATTTAATTTGTACATTATACTCTTAATCAACAACATTCAACTCATTTTAAGAAAATTAACATAAACTATTTTCAAAAATATTGTTTACACTTTAAATACAATTGTATATAAATTAAAAAAACTGCTATATTAATGGCAAATGCTACATAATCCTCGTACATGCATCTTTTCTTAACTCAACTGTTTTTATGGGGGTGTGCAATGCGTTCTGTAAAATTTCTTCTTTTTTATAACATTTCTCTTGTAATAGTAATAAATTGCTGGAAGATTATTGATTTAATTTTTTGTTTCTATTCCAAATTCATTCGTTTTTAAATATTTGATAGGGTATAAAATTGGTTTTAAAAACAAAATTGTTTATTTTAGTATTTGTATGTTTTTTTCTTAGTTTTCTCTATTAATTTACCAGCAATTTAATTAATTTTTTCGTTTTTATTTTGCATTGTTTTCTGTTCTTTACGCGCGACGGTTTTGTGTGCATTTGCTTGTCGGAAATTTTGCAGAACGCATAAGCCAACAACGCATGCAAGCCCTGCTAGCATCCCCCAAACTATTAAGAGAATTTGAGGCAATCCAGGATGCTAAAAAATGGCAAAGGCAACAGCAACGTTTGAGAGAATTGCGAAAATGCGAACTAAGCCCCATGTCTTCTGCTATGTCCGTTACACCGGACATAACACGTATACGTGTGCCCTCTACAAGCCCTAGCAGTGGTTATGAGAGTCTTAACGACAACTCTTCGGTTTGTAGTGGAGACTCGTACAATCGCCGTCGCAATCGTTCACCCCTAAAATCCTTGGCCGTTAGTTTAGTTAAATCGAATGTTAAAAATGAAAATGAGCGACAAAAAAGCCAAAAACGACGTAGAAGCTCTCAGAGCAACGGCTCAGTTAAATCTGCCAAGAAACTAAAACAAGAGTACGTTATCGAAACCATTGAAAGTCTTGAGTCAGTCAATGGCGATCCTTTATTCTTCGTCAAGTGGCTAAACTACTCTAAAGCAGATAATACGTGGGAGACTTTGGATAATTTGTTTGAATGTGCGGTTTTAGAAGATTTCGTCAAAAGTATGACGGTTTTATATGAGCCTATTATAGCCAAAATACTGCAGGACTTTGCCGAACAAATAGAAAAAGAATCTTTAGGTTTAAAACCATCCGATATCGATTTAAAAGTTTTGGATAATTATGACCCCTTGAAATTAAAAGTCGATTTAATATTATTGTCACAATTCATTAGTGTCAAATCACGAAATCAAAGGGAACCGGAAAAAATTCGTCGCCGGATTTTGAACGCTCTACTCTTGGAACCCTGGTATCATAAAAGACAACAACAATTGAGTTCTATGGAAGAATGGCAAAAACGCATGAATTTGGTAGAGCGCGACGCGCCCATAAAAGTTGAAAATAATGTAGATTTTGATATTTTAGACCCCAATTTTGAATATATTTCGGAGAATTTCCCATCCGGTGGCGTTGAAATCCTAAACGTTCCGCCCATTGGCTGTAAGTGCGAAGAAGGTTGTGCGCCGTCTAAAAAGTGCTGTGCACGCATGGCAAATACCTATTTTGCGTATGAAAAAAATGGTCGTCTGCGCATCTACCCAGGAGAAGCCATCTACGAATGCAATTCCAAATGTCAATGTTCAAAAGATTGTCCAAATCGAGTAATCCAAAGAGGCCGCAAAAATTCCCTTTGTCTATTTAAAACTGCCAATGGTCGTGGATGGGGTGTTCGCACGGAAAAGCCTTTACGCAAAGGCGAATATGTTAGTGAATACATGGGTGAGATTATAACATGCGAAGAAGCCAATGAGCGCGGCAAACAATACGATGCAATAGGACGTACATATCTGTTTGACCTGGACTACAATAACACAGATAGTTTGTATACCATTGATGCAGCATTATATGGCAATGTTTCCCATTTCTTCAACCATTCCTGCGATCCAAATCTTTCGGTTTTTCCTTTTTGGATCGACAATCTTGACATCAACATGCCTCGTCTGGCATTTTTCACTCTAAGGCCCATCCAGGCCGGTGAAGAACTAACATTTGATTATATACGCGGGGATATGCAATTGGATGAATATGAAAACCTTTCGGAAGCAGAGAAAACAACTTGTCGCTGTGGAGCCGCTAATTGTCGCAAAGTTTTATTTTAAATGTATCCCAATGCTCACATTCAGATGAAAATTGAAAGTATTTCTTAAGGCACAAACATTACAACAAATTGTAACATACTTTATTTTTAAATTTTAACTAAGATTATACGACTATAATATTAATATTTAAAAATTTTTCTTTACCTGTTAAGTTGATTTTATTTTAATTTTTTTTTCGGATTTAACTATACCACCAAACTATTATTAACTGACTAACATTTCATTACTTTTAAGTTTTTGCTTGAAATAAAGTTCAACAGAGATAAATTTTAAAAAATGGGTTATTTTATTGTTTTTGCATTACAATACAGGTTACGCCAATGCCAAAATCTATAAATGCGATAATCCCAAATGTCCACGACCTGCATGCTTTGTTTCTGACAGCTCTAGCAAAGATGACAGTTTACCTTGTACCAGACCCTCGTGTACTGGTCGCTTTAGGCTGATACGTCATGTCAGTTTTGTCGATTGCCCCGGTCACGACATTCTTATGGCTACTATGTTGAACGGTGCCGCTGTTATGGACGCCGCTTTACTCTTGATTGCTGGCAATGAATCGTGTCCCCAGCCTCAGACTTCGGAACATTTGGCTGCCATTGAAATTATGAAACTGAAACAGATTTTGATTTTACAAAATAAAATCGATTTGGTTAAAGAATCACAGGCCAAGGAACAACACGAAGACATTACCAAATTCGTTCAGGGTACAGTTGCTGAGGGTGCACCCATTATTCCCATCTCGGCTCAATTGAAATATAATATTGATGTAAGTAAAATTAAGAAAATGGATTGTAGTATGTATTATCTAACATTTGCAATTATATTTACTCTTTATAGGTCTTGTGCGAATACATTGTTAAGAAGATTCCCGTTCCACAACGTGACTTCAATGCTCCTCCCAGGCTAATTGTTATCCGTTCTTTTGATGTCAACAAGCCCGGTTGTGAAGTCAATGACTTGAAGGGTGGCGTTGCTGGTGGTTCAATTTTGTGCGGTGTCCTTAAGGTTGGTCAAGAAATTGAAGTACGTCCCGGTGTTGTCACCAAGGATAGCGAGGGTAACATAACCTGTCGTCCCATCTTTTCGCGCATTGTCTCCTTGTATGCCGAAACAAACGAATTGCAATATGCCGTGCCTGGTGGTTTGATTGGTGTTGGTACAAAAATTGATCCCACCCTGTGTCGTGCTGATCGTTTGGTGGGTCAAGTATTAGGTGCTGTTGGTCAATTGCCCGATATTTACATTGAATTGGAAATTTCATACTATTTGTTGCGTCGTTTGCTGGGCGTACGCACAGATGGTGATAAGAAAGGTGCTCGCGTTGAGAAATTGCAAAAGAACGAAATTCTATTAGTTAACATTGGTTCCCTCAGTACCGGTGGTCGTATTATTGCCACAAGAGGAGATTTAGCTAAAATTGTTTTAACAACTCCTGTGTGTACGGAAAAGGGTGAAAAGATTGCTCTCAGTCGTCGTGTAGAGAAACATTGGCGGTAAGTGTTTTATTATTGTTCATTTCATAAATTTTCGTTTTACCTAATTTTTGTTTGATTTTTTTTAGTTTAATTGGTTGGGGTCAAATCTTTGGCGGCAAAACTATACAACCCGTTGTTGACAGACAAGCTCCTGTTCCTACAAAATAATTTTAATTTGTCGATTTATATAATTTATGTATTCAATTTCTTGATCAAAGTTTTGAAACAAGCTACTGAAGGAGGAGCGGACATTTTTTCAATTATATATATATATTTACTATATTATTACAACCAAGGTACAGCAGCAGTCCATTTAACTTTAAAAACGTTCATCATTTATACTATTGTGGTTTATAAAAACAAACAAGCAGCAACAGAAAAAAAAAAAGAAATTAATTTCTTTGTTCAATTCTCTTTTTTTTATTGAAAAATAACTTCATTGTTAAGACAAAAAATAAACGCATTTTTTACACCACATGGAAGAAAAAACCAACAAAACTAAAAAAACAAACTTTTTTCAATTGGCCAATTCGTTCGATTTACCAAGGTAAAGAACAACTTTTATTATAATTTATCTTAAAAATTACAAAAATATAAATATTCGCTTGCTAAGGTTTTTTTTTTTATTATATATAAATAAATTATTTATATTTTGATATAAAATAGGGAATTTTCAATAGGAATAAGATTTTGCGACACGCACACTTATATTTTTTTAAGATTTGTGCTTTTACTGAATAATATCAAACTGGGAAGGATAGCTCTGTAACAAAAATACAGAGTAACTCTTCCATTAATGCCTTAATATAATCCATTGAAAATCCCTAAATAATTCTTAAATACTGTGTGCATTTATGTCATGTTATATGGTGAGAGATTCATATAAATATGTATGTATGCATTTATTATAAAGACTAGGTTGGTGCTTTTAAGTTTAAAATTTGTTCTGACTGCATTGTATCTTGCTAAATTAAATTAATTCAGTTCGAGAAACTTGTGTACTCAAAGTATATAGTTTAAACTTAAGAATAAAGAAAAAATATTTTTTGGTAATTTTGAGAGTAAGCGAGCAGTATTGTCGCTTGCTTATGCTCCACATTAAACTTTTAGCTATTTCTTGCAATAGCAATATTTACGCAGTTCCGGATTACGTTCATAAATACAATTAGCCTGTGAGCCATAAATATTAACGCGAGATATTTGTGACAGTTTAGTGTGCATTGTTAGATTATCCAAATTGTAAGCGACGCTAGCCTCAAAGATTGAATCGCCCGGCGATACTAAAATTTGCAGCTGATAATAAACTTCAGCTGAACGTGAACTGCCGGTTAAGTCGGATAAATAGCCATCCATGTCTAAATTGTGCTTAAATGACAACAACTCCTGGTGAGGCTTCAGTAGCAAAGCCCAATTGATGCGCTTCAAATGTAAAGGTTCGCAATATTGACGAAATGTTTCCGTAGCATTGTTGATAACATTTAATATACTGGCGGCCGCTTTCAATAGAATGCCCATGTCCGAGCTTACATTAAGCTGTTGCCAATTGAGACAGGCACACCAGTGTGGCTCTATATAAGCATCTGCACAAGAACGATTCTGTGGGACGGGTGTAAAAAGTGATATGGCACGGTGTTTAGCTAAATCGGAAACTTCAATCTTTGGTGTGGTTTCTAAAGAAGGCGTTTCTTCGGCCAGTGTTTCGTACGATGTTAGCTCATTGGAAGTGGCTGTAGGTTTAATATTTTGCAGTTCTGTAATTATAAAAGGATTTTTTATTCATTATTTTTAGAATAATTTTAATTTTATGCAAGTAGTTTACCTAAAATATGTACAAGTGTTGCATGTATATCAAATGGTGTCGTCAATCTTTCACTATTCTTAACAAAATGTTCATATTCTTGCGGGAAACGCTTTTTAAATGATTCCGGAAAAGCAAAACTGAAAAATGGTAAACGTTCTTCCTGTTTGCCTTGTAAAGTCTCGCGTATTTCGGTAAACCTAAAAGAGAAATAAAGTAAGATATCAAAAATCGGTTTTAGCAGAGTTTTGACCATAGATTAGTTTAATGCATTGACTACAGATCAGTCTATAGATTAATTTATAGCCAGTTCGACATATAAGTATATAGTCAAGACAATAGATCAGTCTACGATCTCTTGATTATAAATTAATACTAGATGATTATATATATTTGATCATAGATCAATCTATAGTCAAAATTAAAGATCTGTACTGATTCTAGATCACTTTCGTTCTGACCATAGATCAATTTATAGTATCGACTTGTGTTATTATTAATAAAAACGAACCTGATACCATGATCCGACATAAATATTAAAATAGTATTATCTAATAGTTGTTTTGCTCTCAATGTTTCCAACCAAGATACAACATCTTCATCAGCCGCTTCAATTAGATTTATAGAATCATGCGATAGTCCACCATGAAAGCTAAAAACAAATCGGGGAGTATCGCTATATTTTGCCATAAACTACAAACAAGAACACAATAAAAATCAGTTCAATTTTAAAGTATTAACAAAAAAATATTACATTCTTTGTATATTCCATCATTGTTAAGTGTGTAGCTTCATGATTGATGCAATGTTCCTTACTGGAACTTAAAATATTTTCAGCCTCTTGATAATAAGTACGTAAATAATGATGAACTGGCTGTGTTTCGAAACCCGTCAAACGATAGGTAAATGTACCCACCGAAGGTATATCCTCATTGAATGAGGTAACATAACCGTGTTTTTCGTAATCTTTCCAAATCATGGGATAAGCTTGATCTACTGGTAGGGCATTGCTCATGCGCTTTCGCGTTTCAGGCATTTCCAGTTCTGTGTAACCGGTTAAAATGGGTGTTAATGCTTGTGGTGTGCCATCGCCAACAATATTGTAACCCTTCAGAACAATCGCATTGAGTTCTTTCGTTAGATATTTATAAGTTTTGGAAAGTTTGCGCATAAACGAATTACGGCTAAGGGAATCAAAACCAAACATGAGCACATTGAAATAGGCAGGCAATTCTGAGGCAGGATCCAACACATTTAAGGGGTTAACATTATTATTCATAGGGGGTGGTACTGGTTTGTGTATTAAAGTATTTTCAATGCCATCTCGCATACCATAAGCCATACCAAACCAACTGCCAACAAATTTTAACAAAATATCATTTTAGTTAATATCTCTTTAGTCTTAACATTACTATATTTTTACTTTACCTTAAACCATTTTCTGCTGTACACAGTACTTTAACGAAATCGGAGGCTTGTAGTATATAAGGTTCTTTGGTTTTTACCGATTTTCCGTAACGTGCTTTAAAGTCATTTTTACGTATTATATCCGTAAATGTACAAGTTATCTCACCATTAGCTGCTATGGCTTCAGGTTTAACGAAACATATGGATTTCTAAAAAGAAAAATTAATTTTAAACATATTGTCGGTCTAATAAATAAAAAAACAACTCACTTCGCACATTACCCAATCATCATTAGGATTCCCACAGTCAATTTTATCTACTGAATGGAAAAATTTCATCAATTCAGGATTATCGATTGGTAGCTCTGGTAAACGACATTCTACTTGGTTCATTATAGATCGTATAGAGCGTTCCATTATTTGTCTACAAAATGAAATTTAAAAACTTAGAATTTAACGTTATTTGTAAAGAAAAGCCATGTGGCAACGCTACTAACAAATTAGGGTTCTATAATTGAAGCAAAAGGTCGATTTTTCGACTTTTTGTGATTTATGAAAAGTCGATTTTTCGACTTTTTTCGTTTTATGAAAAGTCGACTTTTCAAACTTATTATTACTTGGAAAAAACCTAAAATTTTCGATTTTTCAACTTTTTTACTTTTATTTTCAAAGTTGACTTTTCGACTTTTTTCATAGATGATAATCGAGTTATCGACGTTTTTGGAACAAAATAGTCGACTTCGACTTTTTTCGACAAAAAGTCGATTGTTCGATTATTCGAAAGTTGATTTATAGAAATCTGGTGTGAACCGGGACAATCGGAATCAAAGAAGTACAATTTTTAATGCTGTTTTGTACAACTTGAAAATTCCATTTGCCAACCCTGATACAAGCCGAGGCAAAATGATCGGCGGCGGCAACTCGACCATTTTTGGTCGATGGCGGCGGCTTGTTATAAAATATAAACTGCGGCGACTAAAATATCGGCTCAATCTAAAGGGGGTTTTACATACAATACTTTGTATTAATATCAGAGTTTCATTGTCTTTAATACAAAATCAATTTTGTTGTCAAAATGTATTGAACAATTTTCTTTCATGTATTAAGAAACCTATGTTTTTCGTTTATTTTCAATTTCATATAGATTATGAAGTTATAGTGGAAAATAAAAGAAAATTAATTTGCAAATTAAAATCAAAAAGAAAATTTTAAATTAATTGTGTATTTTGTAAATAAACAGAATTTAATTTTTTTTTTAAAGCTGAATACATCTCAAACTACAAAATGTTTAAGATTTTCAGACTACAATACATTTTCAAATAATACTTTGTATTAATACAAAATCACATAATGTAAAGACCTTTAAGCTGAGAATTTTTTCTGAAATTTTTCTATATATGCGCTTGTCATGCAGAAAAATGGTTTTATATTGGTTTATTAAAAAAAAGGATATCTATATAAGTATTTTCAAGATTAGATGGTCATTATTACAGTTATTTATATAAAAAATTGTCTTTAATAGATTTATCGTAAGCTTTAAGAATTGCGAAGATTAATGTCAATATTTTGATCAAAATTTGTTTATGTGTTAAGGTATTTTCAGACTACAATACTGAGTATTAACACACTTCAAATTAAAAATATTATGAAAATAATTCGCATTTTCAAAAAATCAATCCGAAAAATACATTTTATGTTTACACTATAATATTTGTAATATTTTTTATCCAATTTTCTATTATTTATGCACTTTTCGTTCTTATTTTTAATGTATTTTACACTTTTTGTTTGTTTTTTATTGTATTTATAAAATACATACCGAATACGTTTGAAAATAAAAAGTTTTTGAATTGTTTTAAAAAATTTATGAATACCGCCGTATGCCAAAAAAATCAGTAATATTTTTGAAAATCAAATTACAAATTATATTTAGACTAGTAAATTGTATTATGATACAAACATTTTTGACAAGTATTAATACTCAGTATTGTAGTCTGAAAATACCTTTAGTAATACATACAGTGTCTCTCATAAGTATTCGAATTTATGTAAACTATGAAAAGAAACCAAATTTAATAATATATTTTGTGTGGAAAATAAATAAATTAATTTGTTATATTGTCTAGATAGTCCTTAGTTTTGATATCACGCCCCTTAAAAATTGGAAACTTTACATTTACTTAAATTAGTTGTGCTTTTTTAAAAAAGTCCATGAAACTACTTCACAAAAGTATGCGAATTTTTCCTGTATTTCATATTTGATCATATTATACGATACACAAATTTTAGAATCGCATGGTTTTATGCTTAATATGGTTTTAAGGGGTTACTATCAACCGCATGGATATATTTTTGACCCATTTGTTCCACAATTTTGGGGGATTTGTACCCTCTTTTCATGTAATATCATTAAAATGGCGATTTTTGGCTATATTTGTAATGTTTTCACCCTTTTTCCAGAAATAAAACCAAAATTTAATATTGGAATTTACCCATAGGGTATCTAAAAATAATATTTTTTGTTATAAGGATCTGTACTTAAACGTTCCAAGATGTATTTTTGGTATCGTTTTTCAGTTTCTAATTGAATTATCTGGATCATAAGTCCCTTTTCGTACCTCTAGGGACGATATTTTTCGACAAAGTTGTCTAGTGTATATTCATGTACATATTGGCACTAATGTATTTTAAATTTTCAATATATTATAGCGGTATACAACCCCAAAACATGCCTTAACAAAACGTCATCCTATATAGTAGATTTCAGTTTTTACTATTCGTAACTTTCACGCTTATGTTGCCCGTTACAATAACACTGTAAGTCCTAAATTTTGGTTTTAATTTGATCATAGTAAATAATATTTAAACACATATCAACATTTTTGATGTAATCATAATGATATCGTGCTATGCAGCATGGAGGCCATTGGTATATAAAAATAATGATTTTACTATTTTGAATGGTGTTTCTTCGAGGCATGTTTTGGAGTTGTACACTTCCACAACACATTGAAAACTTAAAATGTATAAAAGCTGATATCTAAAAGAATATATACCAGAAAACTTTCCCCGAAAATAGTTGATCCTAGTATTATAAAAATGGACTTAAGTTCCAATATATTGAATTAGCGAAAGAAGAATGATCCGAATAATTTATCTTGGAACGTTTAAATACAGATTCTTGTAACAAAAGATATTATTTTTAGATACCCCAAAGGGTCTTTTAAGTCCCAATATCAAATTTTTGTTTTATCTCTGGAAAAAAGGAGAAAAATTTACAATTATGGCCAAAAATCGCCATTTTAATGATATTACATGAAAAGAGGGTACAAATTCCGCAAAATTGTGGACCAAATGGGCCAAAAATATATCCTTTCCGTGGATAGTAACCCCTTAAAACAATATTACGCATAAAAACCATTCGATTCTAAAATTTGTGTTGCGTATAATATGATCAAATATGAAATACAGGAAAAATTCGTATACTTTTGTGAGGCAATTTCATGGACTTTTTTTAAAAAAACACAATTAATTTAAATCAATGCAAATTTTTCAAGTTTTAAAAAGCGTGATATCAAACATAAGGACTATCTATACAATATAACAAATTAATTTATTTATTTTGCACACAAAATATTATTAAATTTGGTTTCTTTTTATAGTTTACCCAAATTCGAATAATTATGAGAGACACTGTATGTATTAGGGTGATCGATTATTCGACATTTGCCAAAAACCGGTTTTCGAATAGTTCGAATAGTTGACATTTAAAAAAAACCGGTTGATATTTTTCAAATTCAGAAAAAACCGGTTAACCGGTTTTTCATTATAAATAAAAAAATATATTTTAATTTGAAAAACTTAATGTTTATGTTTAAATTTGATTAATAAAACATGGCCCGAAATGATTTTTAACAGTTTAAAAGACTATAACTTTAGATCTAGTCGTCTGATTTACATTATTTCTTTAATATAAAAAAATTTGGAAAAAAGTGGGACACTTCTGTTAAACATAAGGTACTATGTAATCCTGTTTAGGAAATTTGCATAGGCATTCCAACACTTCCATAAAATTTCAGCCGTAAATTAATTATTGTATTTGGAATATAATCTTAAGATTGATAACATTTTATCAAACAGTTATCAATTTTACAAATAATTTTTTTTTAATTAATTAGGAAAATCAAAAAAGTTTAACCAAAGGAGCTTTAGAAAAATATACGCTAGCTCCTCGACTCGAATATTTTTAAAATTTAGGCGGGCTGTATTATTATTTACTTAAAAATTTCATTTTAATAATCTTTGAATACAAAGCAAATAAAAGTATTCGAAACCGGTTTTTAAAAAGTGAAAAAACCGGGTTATTCGATATTCGAAAAATCAACATTAAGATAAAACCGACACTGGTAAAGCAGAAAAAACCGGTTTTAAAACCGGTTGAAAAATCGAGTCGATCACCCTAATATGTATATACCAGCAATCATTGAAGCAGAAGAAGCATAAACAACACATACACAAATTTTAATCAAAATATTGACGTGTGGCCATACAGCTTAAAGGCAAGTTGTAATAATAGACATCACACAATCAAAAAATTACCGTTGGAGTCAACCAACTTGATGTGTCATGTCGCTTTAGAAAAACATAAGTTTTTTAGTCGGCGACGGCGCGGCTTGCCAAAATTTGGCCGGCGACCAGCCGCCGCCGATTTGAGCCAAGTCGGCTTGTATCTCTGGCTGTACGTGTTTATTATTAATTATAGTAATTTATTAAGTGGATTGATTATATTTTAAAAATCATTTACAAAACATAAACGAATTTATAAAATAACAAATAAATTTTTAGCCAGAAATAGTTTTAATCTCGCAACAAAATGTCAAATAAAGAATAAACTCGAATACAGGCGTGCGGATGGATGGTCTGCCAATCAGCCAGTTGTTGATAGTAAAATTGTTTTAGAAATTGCAAATAACATTACATGAAATTAGTGCATAATATGTATATTATATGATTGTTAAGGTGTTAATATTGAAAAAACTGGTCAAAAGTATTTTGTAGTTGTGTTAATTTCATTTGGTACAAATTGGGTTTCGGTATGTCACAGCCTTCTTCATATGGAACATCATCTAATAGTAATTTAAGTAGTGGAGTTAAGCAACAACAGCAGCAACATATCACACAATCTCTGACAAGAGTACAAAACATCGATATGCTGTCCTATAATAGCGGCAATATTAACAACAATAATGCCAACAACGGCAACATTACCGTCGTTGCGGAAAGTGGCGGCAACACATTTGCCATTAGCAATAATACGACGACATTGGATCAAACTACCTCCATATCGAATCAAAACACAAATACTGGAGCAATACCCAAAGAAAAATCAGCAAAAAACACCAAACAGCAACAGCCGCGTAAACCACCACCTACTATAGACACATTTTGGCCCAACATACTTCAGGAGGTGCAAACTGCAGTTGTCGACTCGAAGCATCAGTCTTTACCATTGGCACGAATTAAAAAGATCATGAAACTGGATGAAAATGCCAAAATGATAGCGGCCGAAGCACCAACACTTTTCGCCAAAGCCTGTGAGTTCTTCATTCAAGAACTGACAATGAGAGCTTGGATACACACCGATGAAAGTAAACGACGTACCCTGCAAAGGTCAGATATTGCTCAAGCCATAGCCAACTATGACCAATTTGATTTTCTAATTGATATTGTGCCAAGAGAAGACATTAAACCACCAAATCATAGAAGACATCACAATGAGAGCGCATCTTCGGCCAATAACAGTAGTAGTAATAATAATGCAACATCAAGCAACAACTCACCAGCGCCCATGCCAACGGCGACAATGACAACAGTGACTGGTGAGATATTAAATGTATCAGGTCTGCCAATGGAAACTGCAACAGCGACTGCGTTGCCGGCAACGGCCTCTATTACGGGAAACCTCAATCAGACGCAGCCCACCCAAATGCTAACGACCGCCACTGCAACAACAAATCATGCCACACCACAGTTACAAATTATACAACAAGCTGCTCATCCTCAACAGCATCTACAATATTTTATCACACTGCCAGGACAACAAACAGGTCAGGCTCAATTAGTACATCAATTACAGCTGCAACAGCAGCAGCAACAACATCTTAACAATGGCTTAACTGCTGGCACACCACTGACGGCGGCAAGCTTAAATTTAGTGGCCCAACAACCTCAACAGCTTATTCTAACTGCAGCTAATCCCGCAACCGCCCAGGCAGCAAATGTGATGCAACATCAACAACAAACAGCCCTGTTGCAAAACATAGCTCAGCATCAACAACAGCAGCAGCAGCAAGTGCAACAACAACATCATCCGCAGCAAGTGCAGTTGCTACAACAAGTTATGTTAACACCCAGTGGCGAGTTAACCAATATGCCAGTAAGTTTTCAAACAATAATCCCTTACTTTGAGTTAACTTTTAAATAATTTATTTTGCATTTTTACAGATCGCCATAAACGCCAATCAATTGAATTTGTTGCGCCTGCAAATGCAGCAACAGCAACAACATCAACAGCAGCAACATCATCAACAACAAGTTATAATACCAACACATTTATTAACCGCTCAACAATTACTACAACTTCAAGCTCAGGCTCAAAATCAAGCACAGGCTAATACTGCTGCAGCTACAACAGCGCATATAGTACATCATCCGGCTCATATAACCCAACAACAGCAGCAGCACCAACAACAACAAAATCAGCACCATCCTCAAACCACCACACCAACAAATAACATTTACATTAATTCAAACACAGTAGCAACAAATCAGTCTACAGCTAACGCTGCTGCTGCCTCAATGGTGTCCACCGATCGAAATATGGGCAGTACGTTTCGAAACAATTGCTAGCCTCAGAAAAATGTCCAAGGCAACTGTTACTTGACAAATGCCGAGGATTTTCTAAACTTAGTGTAAATTATATTTATTTCTACATGTCGTCATTTCATTTTAAACCGACTTTAATTTAATATGTATGTAATTTTTAAATGAGTCTTATAATTATTATAATTAAAAATATGTATTGTAATTTTTCCTTCTTTGTTTAAATATTTCCATGTATTTCCTTAAACCAGATAAACATAGCTTATATGTTTGTATAATAATATTTAGTATTAGTGTTAAGATTATTTTAATTTCCCAAAAAAAGAGAAAAATAATAAATAAGTTAATCTTTGATAACAAAACAAAATACAATTTAATTTATAGAGTTCTAATTATAAAATGTATGTATAATATTCGCTCACGATCAGAACGATCTTCATGTATAAAGTTTAAACAAATAAATTTTAATTTGTTAATAAAAAAATTATTGCATACAATTACTTTAACTTTATTCATTTTTTTTTTATTGTTTTAAAATTATTTTCTAGAATACTCGAAAAATTAAAGAATTTTAAAATTTTACAAATTCTCCGGACAGATAATTTAGTTTAGACTATTAGAAAAGTTTTTACTATAAGAACCGTTTATTTTCTAAAATTTACAAAATTGGTTCAAAAGTAAATGCAAAACTTTTCATATCTCTTTCTTTTAAAAACTAGTCGACTCATGACACTTGAAATAAATTGTTCATATACAAATATGTAGTTGTATTTCTGAATATGTAAATGATAAAATTGTTATTTCTAACTAAATGAATTATAAATAAATATATTCAACTAGTTTGCTTTTCGTAAGATCGAAACACCGAAATACATACAATGTATGTATATACAATAGGGTATAACTATTGGCTACCATCACCCTATAGTCAGCCAATTTTGTCTTATTTACGAAAACACTTCCTGTTATTTTTGAGTAAACTCTTTCAATAACAGCGAAAATTAAAATTTTTTCTTGTAATTCGGATTCGATATTTGTTAAATTATTAAAAAGCTACCACCCTAATCGTGTGTTTTAAAGTGTGAATACATACCTATTTTTCTTAAGGGACAATGGCTGATTTTTAGTCATTACCAAATGCCCATTTACCTAAAAAAGTGTTCTAACTCACAAAATCACAGTTTTTAGAAAAAGTTTTGGAATTCGAAAGCAAAATTGATAAAAAAATAAACTTAAAAATATAAATAAACTTCGCTATCTGAATCTGTTTTAACTATTCAAATCCCTTGGTTTGTTTAAAAGTTTTTAAAAATAGTAAAAATTCATAAAACATTTAAAGTTATTTTTCTCGAAATGACTTTTTTGGTAGTAAATGAGCGATAAGTAAATCTTTTTCAGTTAATTATGAAGCATTTTTCTTACTTCTCAGTTTCAACCAATTTTATCCTTGAACCAAGTAAGATATTTAGACAAATTATATATTTTTTAATTATAAATAAGTTTTACATTGAAATAATGTTTAAAATGGAGATAATAATAATCGAATAATAATAATAATCAAAGTAACTGATTTTGTTCAGATACGTCAATATTTTACAAAACTATTTTCAAAATCTCTAATTTTGAGGTAGGACACTTTCGAAATAAACCATCTAAATGTATTTATTTCCCTTTGTGATGCTATCGCAAGTAAATAAATTAAATTTCCATGAAATTAATAGTAATTAGTAGAAAAATAATAATACAACAACAACAAATTTTAATGAAATTTAATATCAACACTTACATTTGACTCTGCCTGTCCAGATCTTCCGTACTCCTGGTAAAGTACAAGACACCGGCACCGCAAAATAAAACAAGAATAACTAATTTGATATAGTGACGGCGTAATCGTCTCATTATTATAATGGGCGTGCAACCACAACAATTTATTTAAACAAAATGAAATGGATAAAAAAAGAAATATTCACTTGTTTGGTATTTTAGCTTTTAATTACTTGTTTTTCCTATAAAAAATGTCTTTGTTTTTTGTTGTTCTTCACTGATTTTGCCACAGAGTGGCCAAGTTGTTTATATACATACGTCAATTATTTCGTAAGGACATAAAGGACTTTTAACGATATGATAAACATTTAATTGGATTTTTTCAAAATTATTTTATTAACATTTTAATTTAGAAAAAATGTAGTTAATTATGTTATAAACCTTTGAGAGTTTAATAAATTTATTTATATAAAATATAATTTAGTGTGCATGTAAAACTAAATTCAATTGGCAGCCCTCTCTCTTTGCATCCCCTTTGCAAAACACGTAAATTAAAGAAAGGGTGGTCAAATTAACAACAATTTTAGCATTTTGTTTTTGTTAAGTGGTACCTTACTATCAAAGTATGCAAATAAATTTGGCAATTATGTGACACCAAACAAAGAAGATACAATTTTATAAAACATTTTATTATATTTTTAAAAATATATGAAAAATATAAACAAACATGTACGCAGTGTAGCCATACTATCTAAATTTAGCTAATGCAAATTAATTGCATTCTAAATAAACAAAAATTATTTTCATAAAAGTTGGAATGCAATTTGTTGTAATTCAAATAATAACTCAAAAATAACACCAAACAATTGTATTTTCCATCCGAAAAGCTATAATTAAACATTAAAAGTAATTTACCAAACAAAAATTGTATACAATTTGAAATTTGTTTACTATGGCAAGTTTGTTCTTTTTCGTTTTTTTATGCGAAAAAGAAGAAGAATATAAATTAGTTACAGAGCAATCATATAGAAGAGAAACTCTGCCAAAATTAATGTAAAAAAATTGTGTAAAAATTTACCCTTCGACTTTTTGCAATTTATGAAAAATTTCCTCATTTTTACTGAACTTTTTTCGAATTATTTGCAAAGAGTTTACTTACAATATTTTTTAACCAAAATTCGATTTATGAAACCCTACACTTTTGTGCAATTTTTAGCTTATACGAGTTTCTACTCTAGGCATTTGTCACTCTATGCAAATTGAGACGCTCCAAGCGTAAAGATAAAGACAAAGAAATAAACGACTGAACACATTTTAAGCAGAATTTTCTTTACACAACTAAAATGGAAGATGATGGAATACCTGTTACCAACAATTTCTTAAAAGATCCACTTTGCTTGGGGTAAGTAATCATTTGTCAGATCTATCTAATATAGAAATAGAACATTGTCCTGATTGAAAACAAAAACTCCTATAGAGATCTCATAAGTAGCGGAGCGAGTTTTGAAATCAATACAAACTTCGATGAGGGATTTACCAATGATATATACGATGAACTTAATATAGGTTCTGATGATGAACAAGATGATGGCAAAAATGCATTTGATCGCAACGAGTTGGTGTCACCTTGGACCGAACCGTTTGAAGACTTAAAACCGCGCATGCAAAAAGTTAATGAACACGTGTGGAAAAAGATAACAAAAGTTGGCTTGGAACAAGAACCGGTGGTTCCGAATAATGCCAGAGTTTGTATACGTTATAATGCTTACTGGGAAGGTGAAGGCGCACCTTTTGATTCGAGTTTTCTGCGTGGTTCATCCTACAGTTTCTATACGGGTCGCAATGAGGTGTTGGAAGGCCTGGAAGTAGCTGTACGCACTATGCATAAAGGAGAACATGCTCAATTTGTAATTTCCTATCACTTGCTATTTCGCGAAATGGGTTGTCCACCACGCGTTAAACCCAAGGCTGATGGTCTATTCATAATTGAATTGGTGTCTTATAATTTGGTGGGCGATATCGACGCCGATCAACAAATAGCCGAACAAGATCGTAACAAGTTTACAATAGTGATTGACAAGGTAAAGGAAATTCATTTGAAGGGTTTGGATTTCTTTAGCCAGGGAACTTATCGTAATGCCTGCAGAGCCTTCGAAAAAGCAGTAGATATTTTGAAATTCTGTCGTTTGGCCAATGACCAGGAAGAGAAAGAACAAAGCTCATTTTTAATAAAACTTTATACAAATCTAGCTGTTTGCTATAATAAGACTAATGCTCCAGGCAAGACCTGTTTAATGTGCAAAGAAATCCGTGAGTTAACCCATAATAAACCCTCCTGTAAAGCTCTATTTCAAGAGGGCAGAGCCTATCTAATGTTAGGAGAATATGAAAAAGCTCGCCATCTCTTAGTGAAGGCGCAACACATGGAACCTCAAAATCTTGATATTGGTAAAGAACTAAAGATCTTGGATGAACGCTATAAACGCTATAAGGAAAATGAACGTAAAATTTGGACAAAGGCCATGGGCATTATAAAAACTGTTCAAAAGACTGATGATGCTAATGCCAATCATGGTGATGCAGCCATTTTTACATTGAAAGAGGAAATGATGAAATTAATGCGTGAATTTAAGGAAGATGAAGAACAAAATAATTTAAAATTACCGGCTGGTCTAACTAATAAAGAAATAGAAACGGTTGATGAGTTGGCGAAGCAATTAGACTTGAAGTTATCACTCAATCCCTTGGATAACAGTAGTTATACGATAACTAAAAAGAAATAAGTAGAAAAATGGTACGTGTTTTATTTTTCATTTTTAAAAATATTCATTTTATTATTTTTTTTAATAAATCATTTGTGTGTCTACAAGGAAAACGTGCATATTTTTAAGATATGCATAAAAAAAGATTTTTTTTCAAGTACTAGAGATTTATATTATTTTTTATAAATAACGTTTTAACAAATAGATATTTTGAAATGCAATTTACTCCGCAGAACAGCCACACATTCCCCAGTTATTAAGCCGATCGATTTTGTTAAGTTGTATAGTTTTGTTTGATTGAAACACTACTTAATTTAAACTTAATTATATATTGGATTAATAAAATTTTTTGTTATTTTTTAATTAACTTTTTTTTATTGTTTGACATAATTGGCGTAGTCTTATTTCTTAATTCATTTCACCATTTTTCTTTGTTGTTTTTGTTAGAAAAAATTCAAATACAACAAAAATTAAATACAAAATACCAACGACAATAAAGTAAAATCCATAAACGCTAAACTGCTCTTTGGGTGCTAAAGCAAAACCGTTATCGGATATTACCACCAACGTTAAGATTGTCTGGAAAATAAGAGCAAACATTGTATTAATACCGAAAACTAAACCAAAACTGTCCTCTTCCAAATAACGAGCAACCTCAGCACTAAAAAAGAAATAAATATATAATTGCAAATAAATAATTAAAAGTATAAGTTACTTTATAATAAATACCCCGCCACTGTAATAGTAAAAGCATATAGGGCTCCAAATAAAATATAACCTGTATAGGAAATAAAGATATTTTCTGTCCAGCAGCTTAATAATAAAGCACCGCCTTCTAGAGCAGATAAAACGGCTAGAACTACAAAACCAGTACAAGACTTTAAGAGCCTAAACTGAACATAACCGGCTGCTAGGGCAAACAAAGCACTTAAGGCGGTGGATAAAGCATCTACTGCACCATTCCAAATTAACTAAAAGCAATATTTGTTATGAAAAAAATTATAATTTTTTAATTATAATACATAATTATATGTACTTACATCAGGATTAGTTTCAATTTCTTTCCATAGTAACTGTACATAAGTTAATACTTGTAAATAGCCACATAAACCCAACGCATACCAAAGGGACCATTGTAAAACCTTTATGTTTGTATAGGCATTTCTAAAGTGGGACCACAACAATTTTATGGGTTTAACCACAAGTAGTTTATCTGTTTGGTTATTATTCTTATATTGACTTTCTAACTCTGCTGTAGTAGCTGAATTTATTTCATCATTCGATTTTTGATGAAAATATAAACTTTTATTAACCTTGGGTAATGTAAAGGCCCACAATGTGGCTATAATTTGTGCTGTAATTTACAGATTTAATATTAACTAACTAAATATATACATATATATGTAAGTAAAATCACACCTACTTGCCAACGAGATATAATTAAGATCACGATAATCCATAACATTAAATGTTAATAATATTTGTGACAATATAGCGGCCACTAGCTTGCCGGCAAATATGGCTGCTCTGGTGTGTGAGGTTACTTTGGGATAATGTTTTTTATCTACTTTGGCATAAATATACGTATAATAAGCCACTTCTGCAGCCATATAAGTGCCATAGAAAAATTCCACCGCCATTAAAGCCTCTAGAGAGGTAGTCCACAGCAACATGCTCCATATTATAATGCCCATAACACCAATTGTTATTATTAAAGGTTTATAACTAAAATGTATTTTATGCTAGAGTTTAGTAATCCTTTTATTGGCGTTTACTAAGAAACTTACAGTAAAAAGTCGGTTATCAAAAACACTACCACCAATTGTGCTAAATAGGAGTAAGTGCCCATGGGATATATTTGACGGTTTAACTGGGATTATTATGAAGTGCATAGAAACAATGTTTACTTTGTAATATCGAACATAAACCATAATTTACCTGTTCCTCTGTTATATTGCGCCATGGTCCTGCCAAAAATTCTGTTAAATACGGTTCTGAGGGGCGTATTTCACGCACAAAACCAAAAACGCACAATAGACAGGAAATCTTAAGCCAACCCATTTGTTTTCCTTTATTTTTCTTTACAATGAATGAATTAATCAAAACTACTTTTATTCGCAAATCCAATAGTAATTAATGAAAAACAATTAATTGTGGGTTATAATTGAGCAGCTAATTATAGCATTGTAATCAATCAACTACTATATAGTTATGAACCAAATTTTGTGTTCTTAGTATAAACGGATTTTTCAAGTCCGTAACATTTTGTTTCTATTTTTGTTTGTTCTTTTAAAATCATACCGACTGATATGAAGTGCCACACAACCACATTTAACAGATTTCATTTGTTGTATTTTAATCTTTATCTAATCGTATCGCAGAATGGACTAACACGTTTAGAAAACAAAATATAAACAACTTATTTATAAACCATATAAACACACATATGTATGTATTTTCTTAATATTTTCTAAAATATTTCTTTTAGCATTTATTTACAAAGTTTAAAACAAAATATGTCTTTACCAATTAACTAACCATTATTAACTTATCATAAAAACAATAATTCATCTATTCTTGTTCTACACTAAGATCACTGCTGCTTGTCTTCGTTCTTTTTGACATAAAATATTCAAATATAACGAAAATAAAATATAAAATACCGACGACAATAAAATAAAAAGCATAAACGGTAAATTGGCCTTTAGGGGATAATGCAAAGCCAGATTCAGATATCACCACCAATGTTAAGATTGTCTGGAAAACCAAAGCGACAGTAGTATTAATGCCAAATACTAGACCAAAACTATCTTCTTCTAAATAACGGGCCACCTCAGCACTAAAAAGAACAATCAGTTTAATAGCAAATATTTCATATTTAAAATATTTACCCTGCCACTGTAATAGTAAAAGCATATAATGCTCCAAATATAATGTAACCAGCATAGGAAACAAAAATATTTTCTGTCCAGCAGCATAATAAAATGGCTCCACCTTCTAGGGCCGATAAAATAGCCAATACCACCAGACTAGCACGAGACTTTAAACGACCACCATGTATATAACCAGCTCCTAAGGCAAACAAAGCCGCCAAGGCGGTAAATATGGCATCTACAGCACCATTCCAAGCAATCTATTAAATTACGATCCAAAAATTAATATTTAACTAAAAAATTGTTTTTAACTTATTTGTAATTACATCTGGATTAGGTTTAATGTCCTTCCACAGCAACTGTACATATGATATCACCTGTAAATAGCCACACAAACCCACTGCATACCAAATGGACCATTGTAAAACTTTAATATTTGTATAAGCATTACTAAAGTGTGACCATAGTAATTTTGTTGGTGAAGACAAGAGTAATTTATCCGATTTCTCATCGTCCGCATTACAATTTTCTACAGACTGCGAGGGTGGGGTGATTTCGGTGGGGTTTTCACTTACATAAGGCTTACGATGAAAATATAAACTTCTATCTACCTTGGGCAAAACAAATGCCCATAATGCTGCTATAATTTGTGCTAAAAATAAAACAATTATTAAACTAGAAAAAGAAAATGTTAAATGCTGCCTCGACATACTTGCCAAAGTTATATAATTAAGATCACGATAGTCCATTACATTAAAAGTTAATAATAATTGTGACGATATACTGGCCACCAGTTTGCCCGCAAACATGGCCGCCCTTGTGTGTGACGTTACTTTGGGATAATGTTTTTTATCGACTTTGGCATAAATATAAGTGTAATATGCCACTTCTGCTGCCATATAAGTACCATAGAAAAATTCCAGAGTCATTAAGGCCTCCAGTGAGGTAGTCCATAGTAACATACTCCATATTATAATACCCATTACACCCATTGTTATTATCAAAGGTTTATAACTGCAATTTTTCAAACACGAACATTTTCAAGTATTAGTTAGACATTGGGTAAACAATTTTATACGTCTTTGATTTAGATAAGATTGAAAACTTACAGTAAAAAATCTGTTATCAGGAATACCACAACCAATTGTGCTAAATATGAATAAGTACCCATAGGATAGACTTGACGATTCAGCTGAGAGTATCATAAATTCATAAAACAAAACAAACAGATAATAAATTAGATAATGGCAATGGAAGAAAAATATATGATTAGCAAAATTTGGTACTGAAGAATTATAAATGTCGTTAACTAAAAATAAGACTTCGGCAAAAGAAACGATTATTTATATAAGATGTTTTATCTATGCAGGTAGAAACAACTTTCTTGGAATCAAAAATATAGTTTCTAATTCAAAAAAATATTTATTTATAGATCTATCTATCTATCTATCTATCTATCTATCTATCTATCTATCTATCTATCTATCTATCTATCTATCTATTTATCTATCTATTTATCTATCTATCTATCTATCTATCTATCTATCTATCTATCTATCTATCTATCTATCTATCTATCTATCTATCTATCTATCTATCTATCTATCTATTTATCTATCTATCTATCTATCTATCTATCTATCTATCTATCTATCTATCTATCTATCTATCTATCTATCTATCTATCTATCTATCTATCTATCTATCTATCTATCTATCTATCTATCTATCTATCTATCTATCTATCTATCTATCTATCTTATCTACCTATCTATCTATCTATCTATCTATCTATCTATCTATCTATCTATCTATCTATCTATCTATCTATCTATCTATCTATCTATCTATCTATCTATCTATCTATCTATCTATCTATCTATCTATCTATCTATCTATCTATCTATCTATCTATCTATCTATCTATATATCTATCTATCTATCTATCTATCTATCTATCTATCTATCTATCTATCTATCTATCTATCTATCTATCTATCTATCTATCTATCTATCTATCTATCTATCTATCTATCTATCTATCTATCTATGTATCTTTCTATCTATCTATCTATCTATCTATCTATCTATCTATCTATCTATAAATAACGGATTTCTATGATGAAAACTCACCTGGTCTTCTGTTATATTGCGCCATGGTCCAGCTAAATATTCTGTTATAAATGGTTCAGATGGACGTATTTCACGTACAAATCCAAAAACACACAACAGACAGGAGATCTTTAGCCAACCCATTAATGTATACTTTGTGCACTTTCAACCAACGAAACAATCAAAAAGCAATATTATATTTTTGAATCAATTAAAAATATTGGAATAGTTTTCTCCACACAACAATCAAAATTAAAAATCATTAGAATAGAACAGCCACCGCTATAACACCATCACCAGACAACTGGTGAACCTTCGTTCGCGTATAAAAAGACAGTTATTGTCAATCGAGTTGAATGGAGTGAATTAGTTGTTAGGTACTCGTTCGTTCTTTTAAATTGTGCCAAATTAACAGCTTGTTGTTAAATGTGCAATGTTATCAAATATTATACAAAAAAGTCAAAGAAAAAATAAATTAAACGAAACGTACGATGATCGTGTATAATTTTTCACTCAAAACGTTGCATGAGTCCGTAGACCTTTTCACTATAACCGCGTTGTTGAAAAGCCGGTAACATTTTGATTCTATTTTTGTTTTTCTTTGCTAAAAAATCACACCGATAGACAGACAGACACATTAAGCAGCACCACCACCAGTCCACATCACGAGTAAAACAGTCGTCGGACTCGTTATTTAGTACAATTAATATTTTACAGATTTCTTATTTTTTTCTTTATTTTAAACTTTATCTAATCGTATCACTCGTTAGATGGAATAATTCGATTAAAACAAAAACAAATATTATAAATGTTTGTTTGTTTATTTATTATACTCGTCTCTACACTTGAGTAGTTTTCTTTCTTTTTTTTTATAATTTGTTTATGGGAAAAATTGCAATTCTTAAGAAAAATTATTATTAACAAAACGTTATATCTGTGAACAAAACAATGAGATTTATGTATTATGAATTTGTTGTTAGGTAATAAACAAATTCTATATGTAGTTTATTTTTTTATTTTACTTAATTCTCCATTTCTCAGTGACAGCAAATTTTGATGCAATTCAATGTCATCGAGAATGTGAGTTGTAAAAGAGAGAAAATTGGAGGTTAAATTCTTAAGATACGTTCGTTTATACACTTTAGCCTTGTATGTTGCGCTACAGACAATAATTAATCTTGAAATTATATATTTCAGTTATTTTTTATAAAAATTATAATAAAAACACTTTACAGTAAAAAATATTTTGGAATTAAATAGAAATTTGCCTCTAATAAACAATTATAGATATGTTTTATTGCCGTTATACAAGTTTTTAGTATAGAAATTTCTTAATTCTCTTGCTCGCAGCAAGTGAATAGACAACAATAGTAACAACAACAACAAAGGCACGTGTTCTAAAAGTTTGTAAACAAATTGAAAGCTTTTTAAAAAGTTGTTTCTCCAATTGAGTTGCCAATGTTAATTTAGAAAACCAGCTGATTTTGACACTTTAAAGCGCATGAATACACCTGGACAAAAAAGGTTGGTTTGGGATTTACTTTTTCATAATAAGCGATATAAATAGTAAACATTTACTTCAATATGGAATTTTGTATTCTTTAATCTTGAAAACATTTCTTAAATTAAAAAAATATATATTTCCACTAGCGGAAATCGATGTTGTGAAAAATTTAAGGATTTTTTCAATTTAAATGTCTTTTAGGCTTGGACATAGCACGGTGTAGTCAAGAAGATGAAAGACAATAAGAGTTTTAATTTGATAATGATGTAAAAATTAACCGAAAAGGACCGAAAGTAAAATAATTTTATCACAAAATATATTAAGAACACTGTGAAGGCCATTTCATGAGAATCACATTGGATGGATATGTGTACGAGGACTTATTGCAGACAGTTATTCTATCATATTGTGATAAAAATATGTTTTCATAATGTAGATTTCAACAATACGCCCACTGCAAGGACTCATCGAATTTGGTGAATGCATGGTTTTTCATACAGAACCTGAAGAGTTTTCGATAGCCAATTCAATCTTCGGTCCTAAAATCAATAAAAAACCTACGAGACAAATTAAAAATCAAATTGATTTTTTTTTTCTAATTTTGCTTTGTAATTTTATCACGAACCACTTTTCTAATCGACAAACCACAGGTTATATACATACATTTATTTAATGCAATTTAAAAAACTCGAAATTATGTAATAGCACTTAATTTTGTAAAATTTCCAAAAAAAAAACTCATTTTTCAAGGACAGGTGAAATGTTCTTTGAAATAACGTCCGTAATTTAATTTTCACTTACGTTCATGTGCCAATCGTGAATAAAAAAGCTTTTTGGTAAATTTGTACTATAGAGTTGCCAACTTTAATTTATCCGGGTTTTACTTAATATGTTAATTCTGGCAATGCTTATGAACAAGGTTGTTTTTTAATGTACTCTTTTACTACTAGTCGACCGCTGATGAATTAGTTAAACAACGACTTCAAAAAACTATTTGCTAAGAATAGCTTAGAAACAGCTCTTAGTGGTGTATTCAGTTAATCAATAGTAATTTTGTTATTTACATATTTTTCTACTTTGTGTTGTACATATTTTTTTGAAATGAGAAAAATTCATTAATTCAAAAGCAGCAGATATTTTAGTTAGACGACGTCGTCACAAAAAATTTTGTCGGCGCTGATTTCTGCTATTACTTGCCTGATTTTCTTCACTTTGCGTTGAGCTGGTTCGTTGCGAGGACCGTTCTCGGAGTATAGTTTTATATGGTAATTTGTAAAATAGTTTTGTAAGCTATAAAAAATAGAAAAAATAGAATGCAAAGTGAAAAGTTATTGAAAATAAAGAAAAAATCATAAAAAAAAGATTGAAATTTTAAACAGTGAACTTATAAATTAGTAAAGAATTTTCTAAATACATAAAACAAACAAAGAAAAAACAGTTATAACAATGAGTTGTGTATAATAAATAAGTGTATATATACAATTTTTCTAAAGGGCAAAAAAAGCTTATCCGAAAAAATCCAATTGAAATCCTTTTGCTAAGAAATTTTTAGTATGAGCGTAAGTTATAATCGAAATGATGTATACGAGGTGTATGTGAGTGTTGTTTTTGTGAATGCGTGAGTACGAAGAAAACTTTTTTTACGGATTTTACTCCAAAATACTTACGATGTCCGTCGGGTGTGTGTAGCACAATAATAAAAATAAAATGTATACAAATTCAAATGAAATACAAAAAAGAAGTATACAATCATACATATCGACATATAAACAGACATACTTTTATATACATATGTACAAATGTATATATTCTGATATATAGAAAGAAGAAGAATATAAAATAAAGTGTGGAACCGAACAAGTGGTGGGTTGGGGACTGTAAACACCAGCTACAGCTATCAATGTGAATGTATTGAAAACAGAAAGGCAGAAAGAGAAAGAACGAGAGAAAAATATAAAAAATACAGCAAAAAAGCGTGTGCCCCAATACGTTATTGTTGTTGGTTTTGCTGTTGTTGATGTTGGTTAAAAGAAGAAGAACAAGAAGAGGTTAGAATGAAGTGAATAATAAAAAAGACGACGACGACGAACGGCGGACAACAACGAAAACGATAACGACGAGTACACATAAAATTTGTTTATAGAACCATTAAAAAAGTACGCGAGCGGCCCGGCCCGTGTGGGGAGGTAGGATCTGAAGTTATTGCAAAAGGCAAATATGCTAGTAGAGTTGATAGTCAGTCTGTCAGTTAGTTAGTCAGCCGTGCTGACTGTTATGTTTTGTGGGTGGGTTAGGTGGGGTTGGATGTTTGTGTGTTTTTTTTTGCGGTGTATTGTGTGTTGTTTTTTTATACATATTATTTTGGAAAAATATTTGCTCATTTCAATTTTCTTGAATGAATGGATGAAAAATATTCTCGGGTAAAGTTTATACTAAATGAAAAAAAAAGCTTCACACATAGATACTCGTATTTTATATATACAATAAATATGTACACTTATGTACATACATATTTATACATATATTGTTGCTATTGTTGTTATTTTGGGTAGATATTGTATGTATTGTGTACCTATATAGTAGAAATAAATATGCGTATCTGAAAAAATGATTTATGAAAATAATGACAAATTTGCTATTTTCAATGGTTTATTATCGTTATTTCCAAAACAATTTTGTTAAAAAAGTAAATTTAAGCATTATTTTAATAATTTCGGTTTTTCAGTTGTCCGACCTAACAAATTTTATTTTTAATACCTACCTTTAATTAATTCTACTTTATTTTTTGAATCCACAATAGAAAGATAAACTCTTCTACCATTTTTCTGTAAAAACATGAGTTATTAAGAACTGAATCGATTTTTTTATATTTTATTTCTAAATTTTTTTTACTAAAAAACGGTTGATTTCTATTTTTACCAAATATTGTATCAATGCCAATATTAACCCGTTTTTAACAAAATTATATAAGCTAATTTACCTTTTTTAATAGTTTTGGCCTAATTTTAAAAATATATAGTATAGCATTTTTTAAAGTGGAAGGCTTTATCTTTCTATTGTAATTAAAAAAATAAAATCGGATTAAACATTTTAGGTACAAATTTTTAACCCCGACAACAATTAAAATCCGTTTTTAATGGTGTTATGAACTACTAGACTTACAAAGTGCTAAAGTCACATGTAGAGTAAATTCACTTTTAATAATTTTGTAATGCCATGTTATTATTGGAAATAATTTTAAAACTTTGCTACTAGCTTCGTGACTAATATCTTTATTAACTACAATTATCTGCAAAAATAACTTTAAATACCAAAAAAGTGTGGTATAATAAATAGTTTATATTGATTAATAATTAAATAAAATTTTAATTTTTACAGCAAGTTTATTAAGAAGAATTGTTTAATTTAATGAATACCCACTCGTGCAAACACAACAAACCAATCTCTTTTTCGCAAATCTCTTTTGTGAATTTCACTCATTTTATAACTAACACTCGTTCTTCCTACAATGCATACACATATGTATGTACGTCAACAATGACCATGTTGTGTCGTTGGTGTAGCTAGCTGTCGTTGTTTTTGCCGCCCCATGTCCCCCATCACAACAACATCAACAAAAACATTCATGTTTATTATGTGTGTTTTTTCTTTTCTCGTATAATTTGTGTGTATGTTGTGTGTGTATGTGTGAGAGTTTGTGTGAGAAAATGTAAAATGCAAAAATGCATATTCTACAATTTTTCTTTTAATTTTTATTTAAAGTAAATCATCTAGTTAAAATAAAATTGTGAAAATTTATTTAATAAAATAAAAATTATGAATAAACCCAAATTAACTTAAAGAAATAAACAAAATAAAAAACAAAATGAAAAAATTGTGAAAAACTTAATTCCGGTGGATTTTTACAAATAAATAAATTGCTGCAGGAGGCAAGAAAACTTCAGTTAATACAAATTTATATGCAAATTAAATATAAACTGAAAAAAAAACTAAACTGCTAAATCGAACAACATTATAATCAGCTAAATTAATCATCAAATTAAAAACAAGGTAAGTTATAAATAATATGTTCATAGGTACATACCTAGCTTCTGTAAAAATATTACAACAGTAAAGCCAATTTTGCTGTTCAAAAAAAGCTTTAGTATACCTATTTTGTTTCTTTATACAAAAAAAGTTTATTTTTATTTCTATCTAATCTAATAGATTAATGAAATTATATTAAAAATTGCTGTGAGTGTAAAATTTGCATTAAGTTTTAGAACTATACAATTTTACACCAAAGTACCTATTAGGCGTATTTTTTTGTTTTCGGAGATTTTGCTATACTGACGTTTCTTTGCAAGGATTGCCATTTTGAAGTTTTTTAGGGGTTACATTGTAAAAATGCACTAATGTTTATTATATACTTAAATGTTATAATTTCTAATGCTGTTTAAAAAGGTTTAAAAATTACTTACAGTGGACGTCCACTAGTACGAATTATATAGTGTCAGACCCTTTCGTAATACCGAAAAATTCGTATTATTGAACAACACATTTTGTATGTTTAAATTCAAATAATACACATAAAATATTGGATTTTATTTATTTTTGTTTTATTTTTCATGAAAAATTACATAACGGAACAAAATATAATAAATGTGTATTATTTTAAATAAACTTCTTGTACATAAACAGGCATAAAAGGGACATATTTACGTATATGAATTGTTAATTTTGAAAGTATCGTGAGTCCAATGGTTGAAATGAGATATATGTAGAAGGTTTTAAATTTTAATGTTTTTAAAAAGATGTGTGCCAAAGACAATTTGCAATTTACATATGTGTTCTAAAATG